AGCTGCAGAGGAAGCTCCACACCCTCTGTCTCCTCAGCTGGGGCCAGTTGTTGCAGGAGAATGGCTGATTCACTTTGTGATCTTGATCTCATCTCAGGCTATGGCTCTCAGTGCACTAGTAGACCTTAATGGCCCTGATCAGCTTCACCTGGGTCCTCCACCCGCACCCTTGGCCCCTGGGCCCAGGCACTCCATTTAAGTTGCACCCAGGGCCTTTAGTCTTGGTTTGAGCTGTGCTGTAGGAGCACATGTCTCCAGCTCAGCTACAGCCATACCCGGCTATGGACCCTGGTGATCCCAACTTAACAGACTGATTTTTCTAGCTTGATGCTGGACCTGCCTGGAGATCTCTGGACCTGACTGTGATATGTGGACTGACTTCCCAGCTTGGACTTGGACCTGCCTCATCACTACAAACTTACCTGACGATCTTGGCTCTAGGTTGAATCTGGCCACCATCTCTGAACCTGCCCTGCTTTCTTGCTGTGGTGGGATGGAGCCTTGGCTGGTGAGGCTCCTGCGTTACCAGCTGCATTATCCCCTCTCAGCTCCTGGTCCGATAGCCTCTGCTGCTCCCTGACAAATTCCCACCACAAATGCTGTTGCCTACCTTTAATCTCTACTCAAGCACTATTCCCATGTGTAGCTGTGATGTCCTACTTCTGAACTTCATGCATGTAAGTGCTGAGAGAAGCAGTTCACAGCCAGGCAATCCTACTTCTTTTTAGCTTCTGCTTTGCTTTGGAGCCTGATGGTGTCTCCTCTTCTCCTGTAAGCTCTGCAGGGAGTCATGTGGGAGTGCTGTAGCAATGGTATCCCTTTGGATCTCTGATGTCTTGTATCTTGATTTTAGGCTTGCATTTCCAGGAATGACATCCTGGGTCACTGAACTTGCTTTCATTTTTGGGGGGCATGAAATTCCGAAGCCCCGTGTCAAACACAGGTTTGGGTTTATCCCATTGCCTTGGAAGCCCATGCTGGGGAAGTGAAAAGTAGGATCTAGCCTTTTGCTGTTGTTAGGTGAGAGCTGTGTTAACTCCCTTCTTTCATGCTGACCCTCCTCAGGCACAGATGTGTGTGAGTCATAGGCTGGACTTCTCATGTCTTGGTGGAAGCTAAGAGAGAGGGTGGGGTGATATTTGGTCTGGAAAATCTTAAAGCAAATTATTTGTTCCAAGTATGTCTGGGAAAGGAGAAAAAGCCAAGGGATGATTTTATATATGAAACTCTAGCTCTTACAACTCTATTTATTTTGCGTTGACAATTGAATGGAGGATCCACTTGAAAATATTCCCCTGGTGATCTTGTGTGGCAAAATTAATGAAGAAGCAATGAAAGTAATGCTGGTATCATAGGATGCCTCTCAGCAGAGAGGCTGCTGGCAGGAAAGGCATATTCATTACCTGGTGTTGCCTCACAAACCACTTGGCAATCCCTGCCCCAGACTTTCACTGTATGAATTGTTGCAGACTGGAAGGAGGGGCACCATTGCAGTGGTGTGGAGCTCGGTGCATGAATAACAAGAGCAGAAGAGAGGTGTATTGACAGAGCAGGAGATGGAGATGCATATATATATATATATGTATATTTATGGCCTGTCTTCCTCATCTGTGCAGTTTTTCTGTTCTGATACAGATACACTTAAACTAAAATTCCACATAGAAATGTCCCTGTACCACAGGCATAGGAATACTGCTTATGTGATCACCATGAGTTCAATTCCCTCTCAGTAAACAGCTTCAGTAAGGAGCAGTTTTATGAGCTATGATTTTTAGACCTGGACTGAATTGTTAGTTAATCCTTCTTCCTAGGCAGTCTGAGAACAAGCCCATGCTGTGGCAGAAGAGCATTGCACATAGCCCTGGAAGCGTCCTGCTGGGAGAGTGCTTCCCTGTTACAGGCAGAGACCTTCTGTAAATCCTTCACTTGCGCTGTTCAAAGCATCTGTCCTTTTTCCAGCCAGCCACTGGTGTGCAGAGCCTTTCTGCCTACCACAGAAGGGCAAGGGCTGTATCCTACTTCAGGGTGATCTGTCTGGCCTGGGACCTTGCTCGGTTTGTCCTGTGTACTAAGCACTCAGCAGATTTTTGCTTGCTTCTTTCAATGCGGTACCCTAGGGCACCAGCTAGGACCTGTTTTTCCAGGCAGGAATGGTAAGGTGGCTGTAGGTGCCCCATGTTAGCACTGCCTAGTGTGGTATCTGCTTGTCATCACACAACAGGGAACAGCCTGCATTTCTGCGAAGCCTTCAATCACACTGGTTCCTATACATATCATAGATTTGTGTAGCCTGGATTTGCTATTGATCAAGCTGAAGAAGCCCCATTCCTTAGCTGTGTGGTTTGATTTTTATGTACCCTGGAATCCATTCTTCCCTGGAATGTCCCAGGGTACTTGTCTGCGGTTCTGAGTACGACATAATATTGTCCTTTCCTTTCCCTGATCTGAAGCAAATGTGTCATCCTGGCAGAAACCAATGATGGAAACTTTCCAGCTGTAGGTGCAGGTGGGAACCAGATGGCTTTCTTGCTGCTTGCCTATCCCTGCTTGGTATCATGCGTGGAGGGAAGCATCGTCAGTGCCCAAACATCGCTTGGGGAAGCTGCTGCATGGGAAAACTTGCAGGCCAATGCCTCTTGGAGTGCTGCTGGAGAGAGCAAATGGATGCCAAGAGCAGTAAATAATTTACATTGGTAAAAACACAAAGCTGGGTGGTCTTGGGGTTTTCTTTTCCCCCCTTGCTTTGCATCTGTTCATATTTAGAGGCTGTTCATACTCAGCTAGTCCTGGCATGTTTCTTGCTTTGTCCTTGGCTGCAGCAATACACATAATGAATGTGTTTCAGGCTCTGCAGCCAATGCTGCTGCTTCTACACAGAGTGCTTTGCATTCTCTTTGGAGTAGTACACCTGTGTAGTGTCAAAAGCATGACTTACTTATCTTGTAGTGGGAGATGTTAGGTAGGGGGGACGTCTGTGTGAGTCTGTTGGCACTGGAAGGAAGCATCAGGAATGAACCGGAGTGTTTTTGTTAGTAGATTACTACAGGGCATGAGAAGTTTAAAGCTTGTGACCACCTCAGAGTGTGTATTGCTTGTCAGATCTCTGCAATGCTTGCCAAGATCTTAGTGTCATGGACTGAGTGCTGCTTAGGCTGGGAATGCAGATCATGCTCCAGTTTTGTTCTTGTATGTCACTAGCCTCAATTTTTAATTGGCAGTTAATTAAATAATCTTCCCCAAGTCAAGTCTGTTTTGCCTGTGACGGTAACTGGTGAGTGATCTCCTTGTACTTATCTCAAACCATGAACTTTTTCATCTTATTTTTTCCCCTTGTCTTGCTGAGGTGGGGTTGTGAGAGAGTGGCTTGGTGGGCACCTGGCAGCCAGACAAGGTTAACCCACCACCTCCTCACAAAAAGCTGCTGCTTTAGGCAATGCCAGCTCTTTTGCACTGTAAATGGTCTGATATAAGATGACTGTTCCCACCTCTTGGAAAAAGCTAGGAGACCCAGAGGTGCTCGCCACTTCTGGGTCTTACCTGAACTGTGTAGTGAAGCAGAGAAGGTGGCCAGAAAAGGAAAGGAGAGATGGTGGGTGGGCTGTCAAGGGAAGCTGCCCAAAAACCTCCCACTGGAAGTCCAAGCTTGCCACAAAGAGTAGGGGGGAAAAAAGCAAACTGGAAAAAGCTGTTTTAATCCCAAGGGCTTCGTACAGTCTGCTTTTTGAGAGAAGGTGCCTTGATGAAGTCCTGTGTCAGCCTCACTCTCCGTGGTTGAGAACAGTCCCTCACACTCTGTGGGCTCAGGCTGCCTGCCCTGAGTGGGCTTCGGTTGCTTCAGGAGAGAAAGGCCAAATGGTGGATTGGGAAATGCTGTTCCTGGTGACTGCATCCTCAGGAAGACAGACACACTTACCATTGTGTGTTCCAGGACCTCTCTAGGTTAAATTGGCTGCTCAGGACACAGTGTTAGGTTGGAGCAAATGAGCCAGGGTTACTCATGCCAAACGGCTGTAGTGATGCCAGACCCCAGCACTGTGATGTTTCAGGGTATCATTAAGTTTTGGGCCAGTGCCCAGGCCTTGTGTTCCTGATGGTGGAATGAAATGGGCTCCCTGTCCATTCTTTGTGGGCCACTCTTGCTAGCTGCAACGTGGCCAGTGGCTTTTCTCTGTAACCCCAGGACGATGTGTACTTCCTGCTGCAGTTGCTATGTGGTCTGGGAGCCTCTGCCCATCTGGTCCCAATTAGCCCAAATGCTGTGTCATCCCAATGCCTGTCTGAAATATGGAGTTATTTGTAATCATGCCTGTCAGAGATGGGTGGGAGGGAGCTGAGCGGACACCACTGTTCGGCATCTAACAGAGGGTAGGGGGAGAACATCTCTTAAAGGAAGATGGGGAGGGCTGGAGATGAGATGGGCAGAGGGTGTGAAGTAATGGGCTTGGGACCATTTTTTTGTGAGGGACAGACAGGTGAATAAAACTTAGAAGACTTGTAGGATCTAAGTCTCTATACTGTATGCTTGGACCTCTCACCCATGTTCATCAGCTTGTGGCTGGCTGCGATGTACCTTCAGCGATTGTTCCCATCTCCTTCCCTAGAGTGGTGTAGTGTTGAGGTGACAGTGCCCTCCTCTGGCAAAATGAGAAATTCAAGGCTTGGGAGAGGCAGTTCAAAGTGAGGACTATGAAGGCAATTGCTCCTACAAACACTCCTCTTATGAAGGTACGTTGGTGGCACAGGTCTCTTTGGGGTATTCAGAGCCCTGGCACAGGCTGTGGAACCTGCAGTGCAGGAATTCTTCACTTGTAGGGAGTGCTTCAGCTACAGAAAAAAGTTATCCATTATGACAGCCATCAAGTAATGGACACCACTAAGCCCTGGAGTAATGCTGAGTCCAGCACACTGAAGGTCCTAGATAGCATTCATGGATTTTCTGACTCCTCACTGCTTCCATGTTGCAAAATATTTTATATTCTTTTTCCTCTCTTTTCTTTCAGATCCTGTTTGACCAGGCTCAGAGGTCAGTCCGGCAGCAGCTGCACAATTTTGTGAAAGAGTGAGTACTTGTCTTATCAGTTTGGTCTTCAGCTTCTTGAACTTCCATTGCACCTGTCCTCTGTGCACTGGAAACAGAACTGCAACCTCCACACAACTACTGAAGGCTCTGCTTGGAGCAGAAGAGACACTGAAGGACAGAGGAAAGGATTTGGCTTGTGTGACGGCTGTTGCTGTCACCTTGCTACACTATCATTTGGTTGCTGTGTGTCAACAAGATGTCTTCGTCCTGTTCCCAGCTCATAGTCAAAGCTAGACATGAGGCATACTTCCAGATCACAGCATCATCCTGAAGTCTGGTAAAGTTCATCTGCAGAGCCCCTCTTTGCTGCTTCTCGCTGATCCTCTAAGTCAAACACATCCCAGAGTTCAGATCCCTGCAGAGCAGGGCCAGGTCTGCATCTTATGTTATCTTATATTCAATGCAGAGTTTCCTTAGTGGTTTAAACCAGTGCATGCTTGCAGCAGGAAGGAACTTTGCTGCCAAATGACTTTGGGGTCCAGCAGAATCATTGTGTTCTTAGCTCCCTACGCAGCACGCTTAGTCACTCAAAATTACAGCAGCCCTGCTCTTCCTGGAGTAACCTGAGTGTCTGCCTGGAAGATGGCAGACAAGAGGGTCCTTCCTGGTGTGGAGGGAGCAGTTAATCATCGCTGTGCCTTCAGCTTGAAGCCTGACCACTGGTTCAGAGTTCTTTGCTAATGGAAATCAAGTTTACAATGCCTTGCTGTAAGCAATGCAGAATATTGCATATTAAGGATGTTAACTTGCACATGGCAGGCCTGAGGTGCAGAAGAGCTGGGCCCAGAAAGTTAATTGCATGGGGACAGTCTGTACCTTTGATCAAGGCTCTGGGCAGGCTGTCCCTGCCGTTGCTGCATTAACATGTTTCCTCTGAGAGCCTCTTTTTCCCCAGGGCAGGTACCTGGTGCAGCATGGGATCCCATGTCAGCTGAATATAGGTCAGAGAGGCAACTGAGGCCTTCAGCTAAGTAGGAGCTGGTTGCCATGGGAACTGGTAATTGACTGTGAATCCCTCAGCAGCTGTGTGGTTTGATGGAGGGAGGGGGTCCCTAGCTGACCCCCCCATTCCTCACCCCCTTCTTCTTGCCTAGCACTCACCCTACCCCCACTTTGTCTATAATCATTTCTCTGATGAGCTCAGATAATCTGCTTAAAGCTGGCAGTTGGAAGGGTGAATTTCACCTTCAGTTTGGGTCTGTCATCCTTTCAGCATCTTTGCAACTTACTCTTTTTTTGCACTTGTACTGCTCAACCTCTGCACTTGCAGGCCATGGTGCTTTGATCTTTGCATTGCTCCTGCCCTTGGTTGGAAAATAATTTCTACATTTGGGACCATTTTGAATAATCCACCTAAGGCCAATCTGCAACTTCCTGGCTGACGATGGAAACAAAGGAACAATGGAAACTGTGCCCTTGCGTGGTGATTCATATATATCTGAGAGGGCAATATTTAGTCTCTAACCTGCCCTCCCTGTCCCCAAGCCCTGAAGGTCTTTGCCTGGTTTATTTATGTGGTACACGCAGCTCGACCTGCCCATGCTGTCAGTAGCCAAATGCTCTGTGACTGCCTTAGTATCTTACCAAGCCACAGACATTGCTGAGTAGGAGGGTTTTATTAGCTAAGTCTTGAGGCTGCAGTCGTGCTGCTGCAGTCTGGCTTAGAGCTAGCTGAGAATTTCCAGCAGTATCACATGCCTCCAAACTCCTGCTCCTTTCCACTGGGGATATGCACAGATGAGGAAGCCATTCGCTCCAAAGCTGGATCAAAAGCTTTGTAAAATCCCCACAGCCTTTGCTGCAAGTGACCCAAAAATGCAAGAAGTGACCCTGTTATTTTCCTGTGAATGGAGCTAGATGGCCATGTAACTCAGCAGCCCTGAGCACTGAGGGCAGTGTGAAGAAGCAACAACCACCACAACGGTAATCCAATCACCTCTGTTTTCATTTATCCTTGCTGTACCTGCCCATGGTAGATTCTCTTGGCCAGAGGCTGATCCAGACATAAGTATATGCAACTTCAAACAGTTTGCCACGGGGCAGAGTTCAGTATTTACTGTCTGACTGTCATGTTCAACTGAGGTTCTTCATCTTCCCTAGGGCAAAGAATAAGTGGATGCTACTTATTTACTAACAGTTTTTAACTACTTTAAGTTATGACAATTTATAATTGAGGGAAACAGAGCTCTCCTGGACAGAAAATAAGTGTTTGTGTCACAGCTGCTGCAAGTCAGTATTGCTGCTTTCAACTCCTGAGAAGCCAGGGCCACTTGTAAGAGCTGATCTTCAGGAATTGCTGTCTTCAATTCTTTGTGGTCATGCAGCTCAGATCAAGTCCTGCCTGAATGGTACCTGCTAGTTAATTAAAAAAAAAAACCACCAAACTAACTCAAAAAAACCTGCCTGTTGCTATGTCTTTATAGCCTCCCACCTGCCCCTGCAAAGCAAACCCCTGATCCCATGTGAGGTGTCTAGGCATAAATAAAACTGAAAGTTCTTATTATGGATCATGTATTTCTGAATGCAACTGTTAATAAATGTGCCTATTCTAAGAGGGGAAAAGAATAGTCGAACGTCTGGATTTTACAGTCAGACAAGACAGAGTCAGCTAGAGATGTGTATGAACAGCCTGACTCCCCTAGTTGAATGTCCTGTCCTGAGTTTGAAAAGTAGATGATTTTACTCTTATCACAAAGTGAAATATGAAGCACGTGTTTTCACAGGTAGGTTTTGAAATGGTCTGCTCACCGCTTTTTCTGAGGATTATTGTGGACTATCTTTAGAGCTGTATGCCATCTGGCCTGGCTTTCTGGATGTTGTCCTTGGAGAATTTCATTAAGGCTTTGAGAGCAGTATGTAAGGTCCAATATCTTTCCTTGCCAACTGTCTCTAAAGGAAGTCTGTCTAGAGCTTAATCTGGAGTCAGTCCACCTGGACATGGTGGAGCTTGGTGGGGTGTGTTAGGATCCTAATGGCATCTGGAGCAGGATCTCTGAGTGATGGTGGTGTACCTGGTTGCACCTCTCCCCACTCTGCTGGTATTAGCAATATTCTGGCTGCTTTGCAGCAATGATTCTCACCATCTCATCTTCTTTGGGTTCCAGTGATGTCCGGAAGTTCAAGGAAACCAAGAAGCAGTTTGACAAGGTGCGAGAGGACATGGAGATTTCACTGGTGAAGAATGCCCAGGCACCTCGGCACAAGCCCCATGAAGTGGAGGAGGCAACAGGCACCTTGACCATAACCAGAAAGTGTTTCCGGCATCTGGCCCTAGACTACGTGTTGCAGGTTGGTGTCTGTGCCACGAGCTCTGACTGGATTTCCCAGTACAGAACAAGGTATCACAGGCAAATTGCTAAATAATCTACTGTAGGGAATGAAGAGGTTGAGGGATGAGAAAGGGCAGGTGGGGTCTTACAGTTGGGTTCAAAAGGGTACTGGATTACTAAGCCATTGGATGTTTTGCCCTCTGCTGCCTGAGGCAGTGAGTCCTTAGAACTGGTGTGTGATGGAGCATGAAACCACCAAGGTTTGCTCTAGTTTCAGGCCCTGGTTTAGGTGAACCACTATGAACCCATGTATGGCTTAGCAAAGCCCTGTACTGCAGTAGGTCCCAGGGTTCTTTGAGCTGCTTTTTGGCATAATCCAGCCTGTCTATAGAAAAGAGTAGGCTGTGCTGGCATGAGAGGACCTTCGCTGGTGGGGCTATGACTTCTGTAGCTGATCACATCTGCTTGAAACAGTCACAGGATGTCAGTATAAGTGGTGTAAGAGAGGGGAGGCTCTTCCCCAAATCCTTAGCTGCTTTGATCTTTATAACTCTCCAGAGAGTCTGGCAAAGCAGTGTCATGAAACTACTGAAAGTGAGGGACTGAACACAACACTGTCAAGTGTTCTCTTGCAAATCATTGTCTGCTCCTATATGTAGAACATGTTCTTAAGAGTAAATGGCTGGATCTGTGTGCACATGTAATCATCCATGTGTGTGTACCTGTGTTCATGCTTGAAACTCCAGATGGATGTGTGTGCATGTGCGAATATGCATCTGGGTGGATGTATGTGGGTACGCATATGTATGTGCACAGTGCATGCCTGCATATGTTGCAACAGTCACAATTCCAGTTGAACACAATGCAAAAAAGTTTTTGCAGTTATGCAGCACTGGAACAGGGAGCCAAAGAGATTCACAGTCAATGGCACCAGGCTCTGAGCAACTTCGTCTAACTTTGAAGTCAGTCTTGCTTTGCCCAGGCATTTGGACAGATAATGTCGGGAGATCCCTTCCAACCTGTATTATGTTATGAGTCTGTGTGGGAATGTGTGCTTACCTATGTTTATGCCTTCGTGTGGCACTGACATCACTCTTCATGTCTGAGACATGTTCTCCTTCCTAGAAGTGATACAGTGTACCTGAGAAGGGAAGTCTTAATCATTTTTTTTTTTCAGTAAGAGAAATTAAACATACTGCCTTAGACTGAATTTCTCTTAGCAGTGGGAGATTTCCTGCAGGAGCACTCTTACTGCACCCAGAATGGTCAAGGATTTTTCTCTGAATCATTCATAGGCTTCATGTCAGGTCTCTCCTTTCAGGCAGTGGGTGTATTAAGCAGACAAATTCAGTGTTAATATTGATCCACGTGTGTCTCCACTAGCTGTCACTGCTGCAGCACTGAACTAAGACCATCTGCCAACACATTCTGTCTGATCACGAGATAGTCTCTGATGTCACATGCTCTGGCAGCTGTGGATAGAAAGACAATGCTTTCCATTTAAAGTATAAATCATGCATGTCATTGATCCTCCTTTAGAATTGCATTTTTTTGCATCTAGGATTTAGACATGAATGGAACTGTATTTGCTGGTAAGGTCACACTATAGTAAGCTCCCTCCATTTCTCCCACTGACAAAGAGTAAGACTTTCTTTAATGTGCTGATCCAATATTGGGGGAGGTTTCCCTGTTGGTCCACTGCAAGGTACCAGTCTAAATCCGTCAGTTTTGAAATGCATAGATATGAACTTGTCCAGGCATCCTTTGGTATTTAATTAAGGATATAGTGAGGAGACTTATGTTACTCTTTTATATCTGAAAGGAGATCTTTTCCTGACCTTAAATGTCCACACAACTGAATGGCACCCTTCATAATGAATTAAAACTATATCCTAGTTGCATTAAGTTAAGCTCTCCCACCACAAATCCCAACTTGGATACCTGGGAAAAGGGACAACTTGGCTGACAGTAAAAATCAAGTCCCAGAATTTGCCATGGTGGAATCGGCTATGGAGGGCAGTGTGTTGGCAGAAAAGTCCTAGTTGGTCCTCAGAAAATCTTCCAACCAGCACCCTCTGTTTTCTCTCCAGCCTCCAGAGAGACAGACCCTGTTTTGTGGATCTGTTGCACATTTCGCATCTTGCAGAATTCATCTTCATCATCTTTGACTTTGACCATGCCAATTTCAGGCCTGTTGACAAACTTGAAGGATTACTTGCACACCTTGAAGAGAGCCAAAAGGATTGGGACCCAGTAAAGCACAGTTCAGGGCAAGACTTTTCACTGTAATGTAGCACATTTCCATTATTATAGTGGCTGGTTTATGGCTATAAATGGCCAGGAAGAGTTACTGCTATGGAGTAAGCTATCTGCTGATATAAAGCACAGTTACTAGTTCCAGTCCTTTTTCTTTTATTATTTTTCCTTTTTTTTTTTTTTTACCTAGTACACTGGATGCGGAAAAGAGGGATCTAGGAGGCTGGGGACATACCTGAATTATTTTGTCTCCCCTCCTGTATTGCTGGAGCTGATGACCAGGTTGCCTAGTACAGAATCTGGAGGCTGATCTTGGTATGCCTCACAGATACTGTTCCAAGCAGAACTGTGACAAGCACCAGTAAGCTGCCCTTTAGTAACTTTTATCTAGTTTTAGGTTCAGTTACTGCAAGCATTGTGCTTCTAAACAAACTGATGCGGCATTTATAAGCGAGTTATTAACACACTGGGACAAATTTTCTGTCATGGTAACACATTATTCATGACACTGACAGCTGAAGCCCCATCGAAAGCTTCTGCTACATTTGACAGTTTCTTTAGTGCTATGGGGTCTGTGGGCAAGCTAATAGGTAACTATGTGCTATTCATTTTTTACTTTTGAAATTATATTCTCTTGGGTCAGTTCTCAGCCTCTTGCATTTTTTTAAATTATTTTTAAATCTCAAGGATATTTTTCACTTCCAGATCCGTGGCCTAGTATCAGAGAAACATACTAGGTCTCACAGAGTTTGCCTTTGTCCCCAGTTAAAGGAGATGTGCAATAGTTTTATCTTTGTTTCTAAGGATGCTGATGGTGTAGTCTCACTGTTAGTGATGAACATTAGAAACAGATACTATCTTTCTTGTTCTTCCTACATACCTCATAGTCCTAGGTTATTCCAGTCTTCCTATTCTTCATTTTAGCGTGAAGATTGCCGTTCACTCCAAAACATGCTGTAACTGTGCAATTGCATGGAGTAGGGGTTATCACTCATTTTCCCAGTGTCATAGGACAATACTGGAAAGAGAGAGAAAGAATTGGGACATAGCACCTTGCTGTATTGTGCCCAAGGTTTTTTATGGCAGGGATTTTAGGTGGGACTTTCCTGATCAAAGATGCAGGCAGTGAACTCTGAGGTATCAAAGATGAGCTTCTACAGCCACTTTGCTAAGCACCTGCTGGAGGACTTGAGGAATGGCCAGATGTTCCTATGCTTACAGTAAATATTCCAAACTGGTTCTTTTGCAGTAGCAGGATGTGTTTCCAAAGCAATGCTATCTTGCCATTGCAAGAGGTATTGCAATTCTTCCCTGTCCAAGGAGGAGGTGTAAGCCTGAATGTGCTGGAAGGCCTTTTCTTCCATCCCAGGAGCCCAAACACATCAGGGCTGGCACAGGAAATACTGAGCTGTTGCTGCTTCTGTGTGGAAGGGGTGTGATGGTCTCTAGGGCAGGCAGTCAGCCATGCACTTTTCTCCAAGAAAAATGGGTGTACAAAGGGTGTGCACACTGAGAACTTAGCTGTCCCACAGGTACCGCAGTTTCCCAGCTGGCTTCACTACAATTACTGAAAAAACCCTAACACTACACTGGTACTTCTCAGCCTGCTAAGAGAAATCAAAGCAGTGACCTGATAGATTAAACATCTCCTTCATATGATACCAAATTGCACTCTGGGGTCGCTGTTTGTTGTCAGCCTATGTACAGCCATACATCTAGCAGTGACCTTAATTAGTAGCAGCCCAGGTCAGAAAATGCATCTATGCTGTTTCCCTTTTTATTCCACCTTGAACTCACCAGAACTGTTTTCTCAGAAACTAACTTTCTGGAACTGTCCTTGAATAGTTTGTGGTTTGCTGCTAGGGGTATTGCAGCAAGTTGTTTGTACGTAGATCTCTATGCCGGACTGCTTAATGCTGCTGATGCTGAGAGTCTTATCTCGATTCCTTCACAGATCAACGTCCTGCAGGCCAAGAAGAAGTTTGAAATACTGGATGCGGTAAGGGCTCTCTGTGTTTTCCTGTGGCTGCTCTCACTGACTCAATGAAAGGCAGCCCTCTCCATTTCAGGTTGCATGGGTCGACATACTGACTCCTCGGTCTGCCCTGGAGATACTGTCTGAGACTGCTCTGGGGGCTGCAGGTATGCTAACAAGAGGGGAGAACGAAGGACCAGCAAGATACTCCACAGGCCAGAACTGGAGGGGACTTTCAGGGGTGAAGGACACTGCTTTGTGCTCACAACAGGGGTTACCTGATGGTGCAGAAGGATTTGTGAGAGGAAGAAAGAAGAGGGAGAGGCATCTAATGGATAGATTGCTTTGGGAAGGGAAAGGGTTAGACCTTGAAGAGACTTGTTTGTGGGTAATAAGGAATAAGGACTTTTCACACTCACTTTGTCCCAGAACCTGTTCTGACCTTGCTGTTGTTTCCTTCCCCAGATGCTGTCCTTCATGCATGCCCAGTACACCTTTTTCCAGCAGGGCTACAGTCTTCTCCATGAACTAGATCCCTACATGAAGAAACTAGCCACAGAGGTGAGGAGACGGGGAATATGGTTGACTTGATCTACCTGTTTGTACCCCTTCACCCTGAAAGGACATCCTCCTTCCTATTCAGCTGCCATACTTGGTAATCAGGGAGCGGTCAGAGCATCATGCTTGTTGGATGTTGGATGAGCCATGCTGCACTACGGGGTGACAGCCAAGAGCTATGGTTACTTTCAGTGCACACCCAAACACAGCCCTTTTCTGCTCTTGTGGGGACTTACAATCTTAGGTAGGGCGGGTGTAATCCCAGAGCAGGGAAGCAGAGATGGACAGTGGCTCCTAAACCTCCTTCCTGTCTTTTATACCTGGTGTTCTCCTGCCTGCCTTTAGCTGGACCAGCTGGTGATTGATTCTGCAGTGGAGAAGAGGGAGATGGAGCACAAGCATGCACTGATACAGCAGAGGGTGAGTCCTGGGGCTGCAGCTTTGTGCAAGCAGCACTTCTCTCCATCAGTGCGGTTGTCCGGATCACAGTGGCAACTGCCATCTGATGAGGCGCCTTGCCGGGTTAGTCTTTCACAGCCTGGAGCAGTAGCAGCAGAAGTTGCTGAGGTGAAAGTAATAACCTTGTGGATGCTGGGAGGTCTAGCTAGTAGGTAGGCCTGATCAAATACAGGGCATTCAGCTACTGATACATCTGAGTACACAACGGAGAGGGACATGGGGAGGACCCCGTGGGTCAGGGCACCTGGATTGTTGTCCTAGCTCTGCAGCTGACCTGCTCTGCTTCTGAGCAAGCCTTTCTTCTATGCTTTGTCTCCCTCTTTGCTACTGAGGATGTGGGAGGATTTAAAGTTTCATGTTCTGTAAATGGCTCTGAGATAAAGGAGTGAATGTAGTTTGCAATTGCCTCTGAAAACAACTTGACTGCATAGGAGAGCTGCTTTTTGGGAAAGGTTAGAGCACTTCTCTCCCACCCTTTTTTTTTTTTTGATTCTCTTCTCTCCCCTCCACATCTCGCATTGTTCCTCTGGCTGAGCAAGCTAGCTTTTATCTGGCAAGCCCTGTGATCTCCAGCTACTGCAGTATTAGCGTGTCCCTTCTGACACTTCTCCCTGTCTCTCACTGCCTTGCCCTGTAGTGAGGCAGCAATATGGCAGCATGCCTGAGTGCCCAACCCAACCAGATGGCCAGAGTCCCTGCTAAGTCATCCAGCAGACGAATGAGTGGATGCACTGCTTTGGTACCCATAGACAAGACTTGCTGCAGGGCCTTTTCTTCATTCGTAGGGAGCTCACACTGCACTGAAGTGATGTTAACGGGTCATGGGGGAGAGAGAGCAGGACTCCACGCTGCTATTGAGAGGAGTGTGCTGCAGTGAACTCCTTTCATGCAAGTCTGCTCCAAACTGCAGTTCAGATGATTCTTGCTTAGCTCGTGTGATCTGACATGGCTACAGCCTTGAGCAGTGTAACTTTGGAAAGGTCCATGGGGGCCCAAGCAATAGAGTTGTTGTGGCTGAGCAAGCTGTTTTCAGCTGAGCTATGGTAACCCACTAGGTGTGTTTTCTCACCTGCTGTAATTGGGAGTAACCTCCATGAATGGGCAAGATAATAGGATTTATTATCAAACAAGTCTGAGCCTTCAGTAAGGAGGCATCTTTGGTTAATGTGGGCTCTGATTTTCCAGACCATTCATCTGGGAATGATTCCAAATCTAAGGCTTGAAGAAACATCAACTAATTTTTTTTTTCTTTTCCTTCTCTTCATGGATTGCTGACCTGCCCCTGCAGACCCTCCTGCAGGTGAGTACCCACGTGTATTTCCTTCTGACATCTTCATTTCTCAGAATTAGCACCTTGCTGCTCTGGATATTTACTCAGTCCTGCCTTTGAAAACAAAACAAAGAAACCTTGCCATAGCATTAGTGCTGTAACCTGAACACTGGAGATGTAATTTTAAAGCCCAGGTTCAAGTGAGTTTAGTTTCATCCTCATCAAAGTTGCTTTCAGTCCTGTGCTAAAATAAGATTTCAGTTTCCTCTACTCTGTATGGTGGTCAGTCTTGACTCAGAGTTCAGTATTGCAGTGGCAGCAGTACTTGGCTGGCACTTAATGCGTGTTTGGTGCCTGGGAGCCTTTGAGGACCATGGATCTGGTGGGAGGTGAATTGGCTGCACAGGCTCCTAACAGAGGGTGTTGGTGGACTTTCAACACACACACACTCTCAAACAAAAACTGTCATGCTCTGTTGACACAGTAGGAGGGGATTTCAGAGAGCCCTGAGAAATAGCTGTTCATGAACCAAGTCCTGAGTAGGAATCGCTAAGGAGTCCATATCTGGCAGGCACTTGTGTGGATCAATACTTCTCAACAGGAGGAATCTAAGTGGCTGTTGTTTTCTTGCTAATGCTCTCTCTCAAAAGTGTCATAACCCATGAAATGGGAACGTAACCAGATTTGAAAACAGAATGACAGACATTCCCCGTGAATCGGCCTGTGCATATGCTCCCTTTGATTAAGTGTTCTGAGGGAGGGGTAACTCCATTTGTGAACTCTCAGCTCCCCTGGGACTCTGCTGGAGTGATGACTTCATTCAAGGGAACATGGAAAATCTCTCTAGTGCAGTGCATTTCAGTTAAATCTCTTTATGTGGCTTTGCTGACTGGACTAGCAGGGAATGAAGCAGAGGTCAGGTTCCAAGAGGGAGAAGGAGCAATTACTCTTCATCAGGATGCATGTGCATAGAGCTGTGTCTCTCTGTGTGCATCAGCTTGTAAGAGAGCTGAACATTCCTACTGCAATTTAGGATTTAAAGCTTCCTGCCTGGAAATGTTATGAGACTGCTTTTCAGCTACTCTGAGTCAGTGTTGCTCCTCCCTTTGCAATGGAGCATGGCACTCTGCATCTGGTGAGCATCTCGCTGCCTCCAAAGGGAGCAGAGCATCTCTTTGAATATATGTCTTCATGATGAGCCCAGAATACCCTCTGGTCTCTGGAAAAATTTGGAGATTTAGTTGTGCTTAATTAGAGAGTGGTGGCAGAAGTATCCTATTTTCCTCAACACAGTGTCTTGCCAAACAGCCTGTTAAGGCATGACAAAAAGGGAGGAAATCCAGTTTAAATAATACATTTTGAAGTGTTCTTGGGGTGGGGGAGCTGTGCAGATTCTGAAGATGGGAATTTAATTGTCTTTGGGCAGCTTTGTGAGGCATGGAGGGCAGCCTTCGAAGAGCCAAGTTCATAAGGAAGTGGTCTGTGGCATTTTGTTTCATTATTGTTTTAATTAAAATAAATCTGGTAGGAGAGAAAAAAAATCAGTGCAAATCTTGACTGTTTTCTTTGATACTGTAATTTAGGTGCCTCTTTCCTATGCCACCCTTTCCCCATCTTCCCTCACGGAACATCTGCCACCTTTGAGGCAGATTTCTAGGGCAGCTATCATTTCAAGCTGTCATTTTAACTGCTGCCCTTTCTGCCTTCCCAGCTCCAAAGCCTTAAAGATCTCCATTTGCAGCTTCACACTTTGTATGAAAATAGTGCTCACTTACATAAAAAGGGTTCCAATAAAATCAGTAAGAGGGAAAGGAAGAGTCTCAATTTTTATGAGCTACAATAAATATTTGAGTTATCCTTCTGTTGTGTAAAGAGAGAGGAGAGCTTCAGCTTGAAGGGGTGCCTTTCTCCTGACAGTGTGTGGGATGCATGTGTGCAAGGACTGCGGTATGGAATACATTTCTGCAAAAGTTGAGGAGACAGTCTTGTAGCTTCCCACGTTTCTCTTGTGCGTTGAACTAAATTGTCTTAAATCACACGTGTAATGAGGTTGTATGTTTTTATGTGGGCTCAGTTGCTTTAGATGGATGCACAAAGACACACAGAGCCTGGTGTAGATTGGACCACTTAGGAGAAAAATTTTGGAGAACTTAGCACTGGAACATGCAGGCCTAGGAATTTTTTCCAATGGGGAATGAGGAGAGAAATGTTAACGTTTAAACCGGTTCTCCCTCACAGATCCTGACCTTCCTGAATCCTTCTATTGCACCAAAACTGACAGGTCAGTCTCTGAAAGTGGAAGAATACAGGGCAATGTAAAATCTCCTTTGCAGACTTGTACCTATTCCCTGGTCCGGAGTAGTGGCGAAAGCAACTGTGCTTCTGTTGCCCGTTTGCACAGGGAGGATGAAGTGCCAAGGCAGAGCTCTCTGCCTCATTTAGTCCAGCTGGTAGCTAACAAACCAGGGGCCATATGGCACTTCAACACCCCGATTCCTGTGGCTGCAGTGGAGCAGGGGTGGAATTACTGGCCAAAGGGTGGCTCTGCTCCAAGAAGCTGGGGGAAGCCGACCCTGCTAAAGGCACACAAGCCTGGCTCTGTTAAGGTCAGGGAGGCATTCGGTGAGCATCTTCCTGTCAACTTTGCTCTGTGTTGCTTGGCTTCTCCCACTCCCTTCTGTGCCTCCATGACAGCTGTATGATAATTAGCCCTTGCTCTAAGCTGATTGACTGTGAATAGGAGGCAGGAGGAGGGGGGGTAAGCAGGTGGTCCCCAGAGGCCAGCAGACTTCCTTCCCCTAGTGCCCCTTGCTTTGACAGGAGCCAACGGCAGAGCTTAAAGCTTCCCCAAAAGGAGTAGGAGGGGTAAAGGAGAAGGGGCTGAAAAAGAAATCCCTCCTTCCCTGCCAGCCCACGGTGCTTAGCAGAGATGCTACTCTAGAGAGCGAACAGAGAGAGAGAGAGGACACACAGAGCTGCTCCCTGCTCTCTAGGCAAGAGCAGCAAAACCTCCCTTGCAGCTGACATCATGAAGATTTTCGGCAGGCTTGAATACCTCCTGGTAAGGAGATTCCTGCAGGGTTGGTTTGACTTGGGGAGAAAGTTTAGAGGGCACTTTTCCCTGGGGGAGCAAGGATTGTGCCTGTAGGACCTTGCTTGCTGATGTGACCCAAAAGCAAGTACAGCTTTAGTATTTGCAGGAGAGCAAATGTGTTTGTTTCTGTTACTGGGATGGAAAAGCTCTGGGGCAGGGCACAGATCTCTGTGCATCATTTGCTGGCAATCTGCAGAGCAGGGAGATCATTTGGCATTAGGAAATTCGAGAAACAAAAGGTCTGTAAATGAGATTTGGCCGGAATGAATGAAAGCTGTCTGCGCAGAACGGGAATGTAGGTGGGGAAGCCCTCCTCCAAATTCCATCTGCCTCTGAGGGTCTTGGATTGTACACAGTATATACACAGAGGTAAAAATAGCCAGATAGAGAAAAGGTTGAAATATATTCAGGCACCAGAAGAGAACAGAATGTGCATGCACCAGTGTTTGTGTGGAAGGGGTGTGTGTGCATCTTTAGGGAATGTGAATATTCCTCTGAATTAGGTTCTCTTTAGAATCGAATAGCCAAACTTGTCACATACAGCTTTCAACTCACCTCCAGGAGAAGTTCTTTTTGATGCGTGATACTGTTAGAGTGTACGTAATATTATTGTTAAATACTGAGCATCATTGATTACTTAAGTAGAGAGGGCACTTTTGTATAAAGCCTTTGTCTTCTATGAGGGAAAGCATGTATTGCATGTGTTGTCGCTTATCCTAAATGGTATTGATTTCACAATAAAATAACATGGAAGTTTGGTAGTAAGATACGTTTCTCTGAATATCTAAAAACACCTGGACTGAAATGATTCACTGGTCATGGTTGCCTAGTTTTGATAGTGTCTTCTATCAGTAGAAATCAAAACATTGTACAGAAAAGGACAGTATCATTATTTCCACATAGAATTGATGCAGTGAGGGAGTAATGCTATGGCTTTTCAGGGACGGCCATTGCCATAGTGATGTATTTTAAAGAATTTTAAGAAGGTCTTGGTATTTTAGAGAAAGGTTCTATCTGTTCGCAGCCAGGTGTTGTGCTCTTTGGAACAGGAATGAACCTTTAAACAAGACTTTCCTACTTCAGTGGGTATGCTCTCAGGCAGGGCTCCTTACTTAAGACACCCTCCTGCCCTGCCCAAGGATTCCAGGCTGTTGGGGAGCATCTTTGCTCTTCATATTAAGTCAGCTCACTGAAGCTGGAGGTTTATTTAATTTTATCAGCCATTTTCTCTGCATGAAAAGCTGGCTTCACAAGAGCAATTGGAAGAGCTTGTCTGGCCTCTGCAATGCAAGCAGTCTCTGTGCATGCTGTGTGGAGATGGACAAGGGAGTTCTTAAGCGAGTGGGCCATGAGGCAACCTCCAAATAGTGGGGGGTTTTTTGTTTTGTTTTTTTTTCTTTTTTCTTCTTTCATGGGTCTGTGCCTGTGCTGAGATTTTGCTTTCCATTTGCTGGTTTGAAAGTGTCTGCATTAATATCCTTTTTTACATCCCTATGGATGTGTCTCTTGGAATGTGTTACTTCATTGTTGCTTCAGCAGCATTCAATGTGCTCCCATGGAAACCATTGTGATGTCACTTCTAAAAGAATATCAGTTCCCAGGCAGCAGTGTAAACTAAGAGTGACAGGACTGAGAAGGGGAGGGGACAGTGAGACAAGATTGGTGTGATTTACTAAAAGTCAGTGAAGGATAGGGAAGCAGATGATGGCAGAGATCTGGTTTCTTATTTTGGAAGACGTCTGATTTTATTTTACCAATGTGTGATCCAGTGTGTCACTGCTGTTGCTAATCATGATTGCATATGCAGTTGTAGCCAAAGCCATTCAGATCCCAATCCTAGGAAGCCTTTTCTGTGTCAAGCATTTTTTCATATCACAGAGACAACGAGATGCTAAATGCAGACTTAATAAATCAGTCCCAACTCATTCAGAGCAGACTTGCCTACTCAGTGTACATTGTAATGGTGGGAAGAATTCAGTAAAAGGTGATTTATTAAAATCTCATGTATAGCAAGAAACGGAAAAAGAGGGGATAAGAGAAAGAATACATGTGCACTCTCTTACCCTGCTTTGTCAAGGGTAAGATTTGAATCAAGAAAGTTACATTGAATGTTGTAGAATGGGTGACACATTCCTCCTCCACCAGCACCTCCCAGACATCGCGGCTTGGCTTACAAGGCTAGAAGGTTTTTATTTCCTATTTCTACGTGGACTCAGACGGTCCACAGATGCGCTGCATCCCTTGTAAGAGTCTCAGAGAGACTTACTGGTGGCATAGTTGATGATGTGCTTAGCAGGAGCCATGTCCATCAGCCCAGACCCTTTGACTTATTTCCCAGAATTAACAGGATCAAAATCCTCTTGTGTCAATGAATAGAACAGATACAGGGACACATTAAGGGGCAGGTCTGCCAGTTAAGGGGATTCATTGTCACACATCTGTTGTGTATCCAGCTGTGGCCACACACTACCATGATGTTTCAACACCATTGGCAAGATAATCTCCTCAGACAGTTTCTAAGCTAGCTTTGACCTGGAATCAGGTTTCAACAGATATTCTTGTAACTCTTTTTTCCAGAAACTTGTCCTTTCTTTTCAATGGCTGTGGTAAGAAGGTTCCCTGTATGGGCTACAGCAAGAAGATGTGCCCAGGAATCCACTGTTTAAGCTTGCTCTGGTGTGCTGGAAGTTTCACAGTTGCACTTGCTGTGATTTTTGCCTTTCAGCTCCAGAGCCGTTTCTGTACATTTTCCTTTTGGCCTTTGCCTGGCAGTGAAAGGAAAACCAATACTGATCAGGTGTTAATTTCTGGATTTTTTCACCCTCCCCTTTCCCTTGCTTCCTTGGTCTCTCAACACTCCCAATAACTTTGTAGCAAAGACTTCTGGTGCTTCCAAGCAGACTGCAATGGAATGGAACAAAGTGGCCCTGAGGTTCAGACTGCTGCATGCCCTGGGGAGAAGAGGCAGACTGGTCCTTATCCCTTGGATCTTTCCCTTGATTTGTACCTACTTTACAAATCCAGCTTACGGCTCTGGTCGACATATTCTGCCCTCAAGTGCCCTGCAGCAGTTCTGTTGATAGCAGTGGAGTTGCTCAGGAATTACACCAGCAGAAATATGAGCAGAATTTGTCCTGGGGATGTTTCCTAACCAATGAGAGCACAAGGAAGAGAAATATCTTCAAAGTAATGCAAACATAAGCCATTCTTCCCAGCAATGTGTTTCTATGTTTGGACAATCATCCAGATGGCTCTCTGTTGTCTTAGCTGTGTATGTGCTTGGTGGTTTTGTGTATAATTTTCTCTTTCTAAAACTGGGCTTGGTGCAGGTTAGAGTTCTTTCAAAAGCAAGGAACAGCTCCATGTGCCTTCAGCTGTTCTGCTTTAGCCATTCAATTTATAGAGAGGTGTAATACAATACAGACTCAATGAGGTTAAAGTCACACCTGGCTTGACTCCACTGGTTTTTAGTGGATTTACTCTAGTGACGCATATGGCCCATCTGTTCCTCCTGCACTCATCAGCAATATATCCTTCTTACCATCACACTACTTCATTATGTAAAGACAGCTGAAGAAGTCAGGTGATTATATTTAGACCCTCCCCCTTATTTTTACCTCTTCTACAAAGTGAAGCACAGCTAAGTGGTCATTTTTAAGATGTGCTTCGAAGGGTTTTACCCTGTACTTGCTGTGCGCTTTTCAACAAGGTCCATATTTTTGGATGTTTGCATTATTTATTATAAAACAGTGCAGATTCTCAAAAATTTATAGAATCATCACTTTGGAGCAGCTTTACAAAAAGCACACATTCAAATATCTATACGTTAGAGGAAAATTCCCTCTAGCTTTTGTTTGCAACACGTACATGACAGATATATGCAGAAGAGGACCCCCATGGGATTCACATTCTTAATGGCAAGAAAATTTGGGGCTGAGCAGAACTCTCTTAATTGGGTGCCTTACAGCAGTTTCTAGTGTCTAATTGGGCATCATGCTGTCTTTCCAAGGAATGACTCAGTCCTGTCCCATTACATCTCCTCCTTCTGTATTAGTATTATTCTTATTATGACACCTCCCAGGCAAGCTTGCATCTCTGAACATGAAAATAACTCATCTTAATGAGAGTGAAGTGCATGTTGCCTAGCAACACAGCATCACAAGGGTCTTCATATGCTGAGCTAGGAAAGGCACTTAATGGGGCTGTTTTCACTGCACTGTTGTGTCTTTGAACCAAGTAGTACAGGGGGAAATATTTGCACTCAAGAGAAGGGGAGGTGTGGGTAGAATGCATCATTAGAGTGGAATTGATGGGCAAAGAGACAATGTGCCTTAGTTCCCCAGGTTAGGGGGGAAAGTCATTTGGGTTTCATGACCTAGTTTCTCTTGGGAAGGAGGCAGACCATTGCCCAGGGAGAAGGATCCCATGTTCTGTGAAAGCAGCTGCTATTCTCTCTGCTCTGTGTCTTGCTCACCAGCTGTCAGAATCCATGAGATCTATCTGATGAATCAGTGCCAAACCTGACAAATCAGCTCTGAGTAGTAGCATAGCATAGAGAATTGAGTGAGCACAGATTGGAGATGGCATATGATGATAGCTAATGAAAATGGAATTGATAAGTCTTCCCCTCTAAAAATTATCATGCCTGTTTTCCTTGTGTGGAAAGCCTGGGGTTTGTTCTGTTCCTGGCCCCTTGCAGAACAGAGAGGTGGCAGGAGCATTGCTATCTCACTTGGCCAGTGAAAAGCATCTCTATTGCTTTATTTCCCATTGCAGACTGCCCCAGATTTTGGGAATTTTTAGCCCTTGTGATGATAAGCTGCCTGCCTTTCTCCTTATCAACTACCAGAGGGGGGAAATACAGCATGTATAATACTTCCCTGCAAACAGTAGGGACAGATAAGCTTACTGGAATGAGCATAATTCATGACTGCTATTCATGGCTGCAGCCCACTAAGGCATAGGGATATGCTGTGAGAGACAGCTCTGCCTGAACCTTAGGATTTTGATATAGATGTTTTTTTCTTCTTGATGTTTTGATTAGGCTTATCTCCATCTTGGTCCTAGAGAGTGCAGTCATGTTAGAGTCTGTTTCTTTCTATTTGCAGGACTTCTCCTATGATGACTCGAAGGTGGAGTTTAATGTTGATGCCCCAAATGGAGTGGTGATGGAAGGCTACCTCTTCAAGAGAGCTAGCAATGCTTTCAAAACATGGAATCGGTGAGTAATAATTCATATTCCATTTGATATTTGAGCTAAGACTCTGAACACAGCTAATACTGCCTGCACAGGAGCACACTTCACTTTTAGTGAGATCTTAGCAACTGTTATCATCACTGAAAGGATTCTGAGCTAAGCAGCTAAAAGGTAAATAGTTAAAACGAGGTTGGTTTCATAGTTTCTGTATACAGAGACTTTTCTTCTAGGAGCATTTTGCATGCAGATTGAGGGAGGTGATCCTTACTCTCTGCTCAGCACTGGTGAAGCCACATCTGGAGTATTGTGTCCAGTTCTGGGCTCCCCAGCACAAGAAAGATATGGACTTGCTGGAGGGGGTCCAGTAAAGAGCCATGAAGATGATTAAGGGGATTGGAACATCTCTCATATGAGGAAAGGCTGAGAGAGCTGGAACTGTTCAGCCTGGAGAAGAGAAGGCTTGGGGAGGGGGGCGGATTTTTTCAATGCATACAAATTCCTGATGGGAGGGAATGAAGAAGAGGGAGCCAGATTTCTCAGCAGTGCCTAGTGACAGGACAAGAGGCACTGGGCACATACTAAACCCATGAAATTTCATCTGAACGCAAGAAACTGCTTTTTTATTGCGAGGATGGTCAGGCAGTGGAGCAGGTTGCCCAGAGAGGTTGTGAAATCTCCATCTGTGGAGATATTCAAAAACCACCTGGGCAAACCTGCTCTAGCTGGTCCTGCTTGAGCAGGAGGGTTGGACTAGATCTGAAGAGGTCCCTTTCAACTGCAGTGACTCTGTGATTCTGCTCAGAACCTGTTGGCTGCAAGTAAGTTCAGAACCGGAAGCCATGTTAGCATAATTGCATCTGCGTAAGTTCTCCCGAGAGAAACAGTATCTCAAGAGAGATTAATGTAGCCTTATCGACACACTAACCTGGCTATGTGGCGCCAAGTCAGCTCAGAGAAAAAGAGGAGTAAGTATCTGCTTTATTGCAATGGTGTTTTAAGACCACAAATTTTCTACCAGCACGTTATAAGTCATGTGCTGAGCTTGCAAAGCCACTTGCTTTGCAGGTCTTTTGATATTGGTGTGTTGAAGACATGTACATTAATCACTAAAAGAGCTAGATGCTGTGTAGTTTATGTAAGCGATTATTATTTTCCTGTTCAAAACCAAGTATGCTTCTTTCTGTGAAGCTGTATATTCCCCTGAGGCTGCATCATGGAATGAGCCAGCTCATGTTTTGCTGCGTCTTAGTAAATGCTAGGAAAAAAAGTGCCTTGCACAACGGAAGAATGACCAGGCTCCATGCAGGGAAGACAGGGCACAATGCAGCTTGAGTCTTGCCTTAGGAAAGCTGTAAATTTGTAACAATTAAGAGAAATACCTCAGTAACACAGCAGGACATGCCATGAGTATCAAACCTGTCTATTTTGGGACGGGGAGATATGTGAGAATGGAAATATCAACTGTGCTGCTGGGAGCTGAGAAATGGCTTTCTGTGCACTGACCCTGCTCTTAATAATTTATAAATATTTCATCTGATAGGTCACTGGGAATGCCAGGCTCATATATCTCCTGCACTAGTCAGGAGTCTCTGCAGCTGCCAGAGACCTTGGGAAAGTGGAAGCAGAGGTTTCATGTTCTAGCCTTGCTCGATATTTGTGTGTTTAGTTTCCCTTGAGATAGTCAATGGGCTTCATACGTGGCTGTGCAAAAGGATTCAAACCCTTCCAGTGAGCTTCTAATGCATGAGATCAATGCCTTTTTGACCTACATTTACTCCTCTCACATAACAGGGAAATGATACAATATTAAGAGATCTTTTACTTGGCTACGGGATACATTCAAAGCATACACCACAGCAAGGCTGAAATATGCTGAAATTGTTAGACTTTGAAATAAATAAACGCTAAATGCTTCAGTGGACAGTTTGTGATATGAACAGAAACTGCCTGTATTTGCATGGAAAAAAGGTTTGAAATTATTAGAGATCTCTGAATTGGTTAGATAAGTGATTCCTTCTCTGAAGCTTCCCATAGTACTAAGGAGATTCCCATCAAATTTAGTATAATTTTGTTACCCCTCAGGCTCTCTGGTCCTCCAGTTTGCACTTGGAGGAACCAGAAACCACAACAGCAGCTATAACACAGTGCATCACGGTGTTTGATTTCAGTGCTCACAAGCTGTTGCACTGGGAAGGTGTCTTAGCTGAATTTTTATCAACCTTTTAGGATTTCCTGCTTGGTGTTTCCTAAGCAAAGTATAGCCTCGGTCCATAGCATGGCTTCTTTCACTGACACCACCTGTTTTTGCAGGGCAGAAGGTCGTTCCAAAGTGTGTCAGGTTAATGTCAAGACCTGTGCTTGACTCTTGTGATACAGAGGAATGGTTCCAGGCAACTCCCTTCTCCTAGCAGGACCCTGGCTGTGAATTCAAGGGTCACTCCAAAGGGCACTTATCCTGTAGGGAACGTGACCCTCTGGGACTGTCTCGTTTTCTTGATGTCTGAAGTAATGTTAGTGTCAAGGGCTCCAAGTTTTCCCTGTCCCCCAAATCCCAGCTATCCTCCCTGTATCCTCCTACATCCCAGTCATACACAGCCTGGATCCTCCCCACAGCCATCTCTGTCTCCTCAGTCCCACCCACTCTTAGCCATATCTACTCACGTCTTAGCTATTCACAGCTCCTGTAGCCTACTCATCACCTTCTCACTGTCACTCAGCTATTCACTGTTAGTGCCTCCCCCTCATGTGAGCAGGAGGGGGCAGGCAAAGAGAACAGCAAAACCCACAGTTCAGGATGTTGGGATAGAAGCCAGCACCAGGCAGAAATGCATGCTCTGGGGTGGTGAGCAGGAGAGCACAGCTGGAAGGAGCAGGAGCAGAGACTGGAACCTGAGAGACAAACTTTCCACTCAGCTTCATGTGACAGCAGAGCTTCTTGAGCATAGACTGCTGCTGTCACAGCAGCTCAGAACGATGCATCAGTGATATCAGCTCATCAAAATGGGCTCCCACATAGATGGGATGGCCTCCAGTTACCTGTATTTTCTCATTTCTCCACAGACATGTCAAGTCCTTTTGTTGTCTTTTATCTGTTTAATATTTCAGCAATGACAAAAGAAAGAGAATCCTGTCTCATCTCATTAACTCTGTCCCAGCTGAAACCAGGACATCGGGGAACCTAGTTCTTTTGCAAAGAGAGTATGTAATACATGCTCTAAATAACATCTTGCTGCAAGCCTCTTTGACTCTTTATGCTCAAGTATTCCAGTACCTTCTTCCTGAAGCTTAGCGGTGGTCCTGGCTCCCATTGCCCTCCATGAAGATCAGGTTGCAAAATTTTAGGCTGTATCTTGGAATGAGGAAGTGACTTGGGGTTTTGGACTTAGCACCGTAGATTAAGACGCCAGGGAATTACCTCTGCTATCAGCATCACATGGACCTTCAGTCGCTTTTGTTTTAATGGAAAGCTACTAGCTCATGATTTGTTGCCTCCTAAGAAGGTAGACTCCCTTCACACACACCTGTCCATACTCTAGCCGTAGGAAACAGGAGATTTGGCACTGTTTGGCCTCCCGTAGGCTGTAGCAGCTACAGAGAAATCAGCCTGGTCGGTAGCATAGCCTATATAAACAGCAAGATGTACAACTCACTAGTATTATTTTCTCCAACGCTATTTGTAGAGCTGCTAGTGTCCTGGTTTCAGGGTTTTCTGGGTTAGTCTGAGATGGATTTTTCTTTTTCCCACCTGGAAGTTTCTTCATGGTGTCAAGGAATTTCTGGCTTGCCTTATGATGGCCCTGCTTGGAGAGGCAGCAGGCACACTGCATCTGGCATGGCATGTGCAAGTAATCCAAGTTCCCCAGTAAATGTCAAGTATGACCACTCTGCATATATATATGCAAGTGCAACTATGCCCTAACGAATGCAACATGTCCCACAGGCACTGGATTTACTACCTACACTGGGGCCAGTGTGCACACACAAGCTTGTGCCCCAGAAATCGTAGGCCATAATATGGGACTGTCCTACTCCATTGTTTCTTCCCATCTTTCCTTCCTATACGTTGACATATCTAGAACGCTTGCCATCACAGCATCTCAATGCCAGGAGTCATTCCCTAAGGCTGTAAATCCTTTGTTCTCCAAGGGAGGGTATTGGAGAAGTATGAGCTTTTCTTGTGACGTTACTTTCCAGGTTCTTGGAATAAATTACACTCTTTTTAAATGGAGACATATCCTGCTCTGCCATAGAACAAACTGCCTCTCTGTAGCTCTCTTGTTCACTTTTTCTGTCTGTCTGTCTTCCCTCAGGAGGTGGTTCTCCATACAGAACAGTCAGCTGGTGTACCAGAAAAAGCTAAAGGTCAGTGAGGCTACACCAGATAACACTGGCAGATTAGCCAGCTTGTCTGGTGCCCTGCTTTGCTGGGGACTTCTGCACCATGGTGGGGGAGTGGGGAGGGGAATTGGATCAGGGGGACAGCAAGCCCATTCAGGCGTTATTGTGCTCCCAAGTTAGACTGTACTGAGTACTAAGTGGCAGCAGATGGTGTTTGTGGTGATCTAAACATTCCTGTTCAGCAGAGGAAGTTGGTGAAGTCCCCAGTAAGCCTGCCACTTCATGTGCATGTTGTCCTATGCTTTAATTCTGTATAACCCCTTCCTATTGCCCTAGAGTTATCTGGTGGTGGGCTGGCTCTGCTCTTTCTGGGCTCAGCTTATGCTAACCTGCAGGGTTTGGGAAGGAGTTTTCTGAGAGGCCTGGTTATGACACAGATTCAGGGAGCCAACAAAGCCACCTGTTCTCACTCTTTCAGGATGTCCTCACGGTAGTGGTGGAAGACCTGCGGCTCTGTACTGTCAAGCCGTGTGAAGATATAGAGAGGAGGTTTTGCTTTGAGGTCGTCTCACCTACCAAGTAAGTTTGGTGACTTCCCTAGGCCATCCTCATGGTAGCTGGACTGTGCACAGAACTGCAAGAGGTTAGATTTGAGCAGATGCTGCCCTGGGCTATTAAACGTTGACTGGGAGATACCCTTGCCTGTACTCAAGTCCCTATGAAGTTTGTCAGACATCAGTATAAGCCAGATCTAGACCACATGTAGACATATGCATATAGACAGTGAAACTGGCAATGGTCAGCTTTTCAAAACAGCTAGCAGACCTGCCTGGAGTTTTTGAAGCAGGAACACCTTTGACAGTACAAGCTCATAGGATTAATTTTTGCCCCTTTGCCTGTCAAATCAAGGTGCTGCCCCCATTGGAATGTCTGTGCTGAGGATGAAGTAGAACAATTTTGACCAAAACGTGCACCCTGTCCCTTTGCTCTTTCCAACTCATTTCCTTCCTTCACAGGAGCTGCATGCTGCAGGCTGACTCAGAGAAGCTGCGTCAGGCTTGGATTCAGGCTGTTCAAGCTAGCATTGCTTCTGCATACCGGGAGAGTCCTGACAGCTACTATATTGAAGTGAGTGAGGGGGTCATGACGGATCCATAACTGTGTCTCAGAGCCCTGAGAGTGGGCTTTTGGGCTGTGGCAGGTCCAGTGTTTGTGGGTGGACCATTTGAAAATACTCTTCTGCACTCAAGGGAGGGAGCTGAGGCCAGTGCTAACTCAAAGGCAACAGTTGTTCACCAACCAAAGCCACGCTTATAAAGCTGGGCTGGGGGAAAGGCAAGGTTTTAAATCAGTGTTGTTCTGACATCTTCACTTTCTTGCCATCACTCTGGATTGATGTTCCCCTAGGAATTTATGTTCCCCTGGGAAGAGCTTGCTCCCTAGTTGGGACAAGTGCAAGCAAAGTACCACGATAGCAAGTAGTTTGCCAGACAATGGTCTGCATGCTGCCTGCACTCCCAGAGCAGGGATGGGGTGCAGCGCCGTCTTGTGGCAATTAACCGAGGTTAATGAGGCTTTACCCGTTCCCTTCTTGGACTAGCCCTAGTTTATTCTTCTTCAGGTAGTGCTTCCTATCAGTGCCTCTGCTATGCAAATCTCTGGTTTGTTCCACAGTGCTTTGCAGAATCCTAGAACCCTTTTTTCCCTGCAGAGACTGGACCGGACTGCTTCCCCATCGACTAGCAGCATTGATTCTGCTACTGACTCCCGGGAGCGCAGTGTGAAAGGAGAGACCATCTTGCAGAGAGTGCAGAGCATACCCGGGAATGACCAGTGCTGTGACTGTGGTCAGCCGGATCCTCGCTGGGCCAGTATCAACTTGGGCATTCTGCTGTGCATTGAGTGCTCTGGTATCCACAGGTACTGCGTGCCTGTGTGCTCTGTGCTGCCAGCCAGGGATGGATTGCAAGCTCCTGGAAAAAATGGTGGAGCCTGAATTACAATTGACTATAATGTTTGTACAGATAGGTTCAAAAGTAATTGCTTGCTGCGGTACCTGTGTGTGCAGGTACATCTGTATATGCATATACCGCTCTGCTATAGCTACATCTATATAGATAAATACATAAGAACTGGATTGATCTTGTTCATTTTATGATGCATGAGAAGTTCTGGTTTGAGGCATGTAACCATTTCACTTTTCTTCCCTTTGGATAAATAGGAGTCTGGGTGTTCACTGCTCCAAGGTCCGATCTCTCACATTGGATTCCTGGGAGCCAGAGTTACTGAAAGTGAGTGTTGGCTTTTAACAGCAAGAGATAGGCAAATGGTGGACATGGAGGGAGTCTTATTTGGTGGCAGGCTAGACTAGAGGGAAGGTAGCTCCTCACCTGAAGATTTCATTTGTTCCCTGTTGTATTGCAGCTGATGTGTGAGCTGGGGAACAGTACCATGAATCAGATTTATGAGGCACAGTGTGAAGAGTTGGGACTTAAGAAACCAACAGCAGGGAGCTCCAGGTGAGTCTGAGTGCACACGGTGGTCCTCTCAGTCCTGTAGAAACCTATCCATTCACACAGCAAACCCAGTACCCTAAGCCGTCTGGAAAGTCAGATTAAGAGTGTGACTGGCCCTTCACTGAGGGCCCAAACCACCTCAAGTACACCTACCTCAACACACTCCCTCTGTAGCTAGCCTGAGCTTGACTCTCAGAAAGGTCAGTGGGGCATTACCAGCCAGCAAACTGGTGAAACATGCTTGGGAACCAGGGCTTGCTGGGTTTACACCTGCTCTGAGACCTTTCAAATACATGTAACTGAAGCACATGGTGTTGCCTAGGGCTGAACATCTCATTCTACCCTCAGCTACACCCCACACTTCTTAGTTTTGCTTTGAAATGGGAGGTATTTCTAGGTTTGAGAAACTCTCCCTTCTTAATACAGGCCTCAGTGATTTTTAGGACTCCAAGCCGGGTTGATAAAATGAGGCAGAGAAGCCCCATCTCCTTGTGGCTGTTTGCTTTAGGCGAATCACATGAGCCTGTGTACAGATTTATGCTGTTCTTCTCTTAGGCAGGACAAGGAAGCCTGGATCAAGGTGAAATATGTGGAGAAGAAATTCCTGAAGAAGCTGCCAAGTGGGGAGACTCTAACAGAGAATGAGCGGAAACCTCGACGCTGGTGTGTGAAGAAGTGCCAGAGGCACAACAGCACCACGAAAGCACCCACAGCTCGTAGAAAGTACCGCCATGAAGCAGGCAATGCATCACCAGCCATGTTGTCATCAGGTGGGAACCTCCCTTGCCCCACTCCCCATGCAGAGCTGTGCTGGCCTGCCCACCACTCTTTGTAGGTGTGTGCACAACTGCCCTAATAACATGTGTGGCCCCGTCTTCTCTAGGACCTGCAAACCTGCCAGAGGTATAAGCAAAACTGCTGTTGCACAAACTGTGTTGACACAGGTCTTTAAAGCCATTTCCTAACGTTTTCCTTCTGTTTAAGGAGGTTCTTGTGGCTAAAGGAGGAGATCATTACACTAGAGCGATCCAGCAACTTCTAAGCTTGCTTTGTGCATTTTCTTTTGTATTCCAGCTTCCTGCTTTTTAATAAGTTTCAAATCCTTTTATTTTTACCTGCCTGGTCTGTAAGAGAGGCCATGCTTATGAAGGGTTCTGGCTGCTCAAAATGCTCTGGGATGACTTGGTCTGCAGCGTATCACCACATATGGTCAGCACTTTGTTATATTTTGATGGTGTACGTGGGCATGAGTATGGCACCGTACACATCTGGGGTGCACTGGAGATGCAAGCTCAGTCTGTGTAAATACGGCTGTAGAAATGTGTCTCATTTGTTCATCTGCATGTGATTAACGATGTATTTCAAAATCTCTCTGTGTAAAACAGCAGCTACACTGGAGAGGAAGTTCCGTCGAGATTCCCTTTTCTGCCCTGATGAGCTGGACTCGCTCTTCTCCTACTTTGACACTGGTGCTGGCTCCGGCCCACGCAGTAAGTACAAAGAAAGAAAGTGTCTCTGCTTCTGGCACGCTTTACCTCCCAGCTCTTCTAGGGCATGTGCATTGTACCAGACCTAAGGCAAGGTATTGGCCTCACTGGAGAGAGGGTAAACGTTTCAGAAGAGTGATGGGGAGTCAGTTGCACAAACTCCAACCCATTGCTCTTTTATTGCACTTATTATTTTAATATCCTATCCAGTCAGTCCCTGGTGTTTGCATTCTAGTCCATGGGGTTTTTTCCCCAATATCTTTTACTCCCAGACCATGCATTCCATTGGCTTTTTTTCTGGTTTTAGTTTTGGCTTTTAATTTTTTTCCTTTTTTTAGCAAGTCTTACTGCGGACAATTTTTCTTTTTGTGTTTGTGACAATGAACTCCCCTCATATTCCGTCCACCTTCCTCTAGGTGCCAGCCACATCTCTATGCAGCATCCGCTAACAGGTGGCCCATGGAGTGGCAGTGGCATTGGTCCCGGTGGGAGCGGTACGCCGTTCCTCCTGGACGGAGGTAAGGTGACGCTCTGGCAGCTAGCAGCAAAAGAGACACCCAAATTTTACTTGTTCCAAACCAAGCTTCAGAGGCAGTCGTGTATTTTCTTTCAGCCAAATGATTGGAACCCATACATTACCAGTCCCTTGTGGGAGGACAGGCCGGCAGGCTTTTGAAAGGCAAAAAGCTTCCTAGGGTTTCCAGCAGCCAAGTTACTACATCTTAAAGGAACAACTCTCCCTCAGATGAGATAAAGGATCCTGTACAGGTGGGATCTCATGGCAAATAGGGAGTAAGAAGTGTTTATTTCAAATGCCCAGCATCTGTCACAGACTAGTCATGTGGTCCATTATCATATTTAGCTGGGGAGTGGTAACTTTTTAAAACTTACTAGTTCAGTTGCTTGTTATTGTATGAACTTAAGAGAAATATTTACGGTCCTGAGTCAGCACAGCAGAAGATCACAGGCTTTCCTACAAATACATGTTATCTTTTGAAATCAATGAAGAAGATGGTTTAGTGCTTGTCTGAATCAGTGCTTTAAGGGCTATTCCAGTTTCGAGGAATTTAGTGTTATTAGTCAATGGAAACAATACTTGGGAGATGAAGGACTTCAGAGTTGCTCAACAGCCTTATCTTGCTCCTCTAGAAGAAAATAGGAATTCTATCACTGATTCAGTGGGAACAGAACTGGGAATTTGACTTATTAATATTGATGTGATATGAGCCAGATCCTCCTTTCTTGCTTTGATGTAAATCTAGAGTAGTGCCCTGTGGCCTCGCTGGAGTCACTCTTTACTTGTACTGACATACTGGAGAGCACGGTCTCACCAAGCAGTATGTTTGCTTTCTACAAAAAACAGCAATGATTTTTCTGAAAGCAAATCCAAAAAAAGATATGCATGATATGTGCCACTTTAAACCTTTTCTGTTGTAGCTTCATTATCTCCTTTGGCTGTTGAACATTACTTGTGAGCCATGATTTCAGGACCACTGATTTAGAGACTGTTTTCTATATGGGGCCTAGCTGTAGCTGCTCAGAAGAATTCAACAAATAGCCTTTAAGGTTAAGGTGTCTTGTTCTGCTGTGGTTTCGAAGGCTCAGATCTTGAGTTCTTGCAGGCTTTCCTGCTATTACTCTTTGCAAAGACTACTAGGTTCATATTTTGGAAACATTTTGTTAGCTACAACCTGGCTTGTTTTTCTTTCTAATCAGTGGTTTGAGGGTAGGTCTTGGGGTAGGTCATGGGGACTTAACCTCTTGAGTTCTGGGAGGACAGACACCCCCAGACCTTACAGTCATTGGGAAGTTAAAAGCAGCAAGAAGCTGAATCCAGCCAGAGTTCCCAAGGGGACTGGGCATCCCTCAGGACAAAGGTGATGTGCCATCCCTGTTCCCGTAGGGGCAATTCCTGCATGTACTTCTTCTTTCCTTTCTGTCATTTTCTTGACTACTTTTGGGTGCAAGCTGGAAAAGGTACAGAGTTCCTCTGCCACTGACACATTGTGTGTCCTTGGACAAGTCGCTTCATCTCTTCATGACTCCATTTCTTGTATGTAGTCAGCTGCCTTGTAACATTCACTAGCTAAACAGGGATGGTGGGAAGCACTGTGGGGAAAGGGAAGGGATGTCTGTGAAGGTGAATGAGCCAATGGATAATGCTTTTAAGAGTTTGGCTTGAGATACACAGTGTTGATATTATTTGGCCCAGTCATGGTCAATAACCTGTCACAAGAGCCATGCATTGGCAAGTGCCCCAGTGCCAAATGAAGAGCTCTGGGGAGAGCACGGATAGAGTGGAAAATGAGATTATTAGTGGTAAAAGCAGAGGTGTGTCTTTATTTGCTTATGACACTGCATATCCTGCTGCAAAGCTGTCTCTGCTGCTGCTCTGCTCCAGTCTACGTCACGGCGTCCCTCATGGATTGCAGCAAGGGCTGTCCTCAACAGTCCAAAGTGCCATGGCAATGTTGGAGCATCCCTGCATGAAGGGCAGCGTGGGGACGTGGACACCATAAGGCTTTGCAATTTTTCCTTGGGCAGTTTTATTGAGTGGGGCTAAATGGGATAGCAATCCCCATCTCCCTTGCCAGCAGTGCCCGGTGCAATGTGTGTGTGACATTCTGCGCAGCCCTTTTCCCCTGTGGTCTCAGCTGTGCCTGGTACTGGACTGCCTGTGTATTAAAATGGGCTTGGTTTGTCTTTTGTTGGCCCTGCAGGTCTGAGCAGTGACAGTGGACTTGGAGGAAGCACGGATGGCAGCACTGATATCCTGGTGTTTGGCTCTGTGGTGGACAGCGTGACAGAGGAAGGTGGGTAGCACAGGCTGTTGGTGGAAGCGTGGGGAGGTGGCTAGTGCTAAGGCCGGATGGATGGTCAGGACCGTCTGGTGCCGAGAACAACAGGGAATATATGAAATTGGAAATGCAAAGCTTTTGAGTCATCTCTCTCCATCTTTTTCTGACTCTTAGAGTGTGAGGTGTCAGAGGAGTCAAGCGGTGAAGCAGAGATTGAACAGGAAGCATCAGATTTGGAGGACCTGAGGGAGCTGCATCCTGGCTTGTTGATCTACAAGGCAGCACAAGCCCGAAACCTGCCTCTCATGGCAGAAGCACTCGCACACGGTGCTGAGATCAACTGGGTGAATGATGAAGATGAAAACAAAACTCCTCTGATTCAAGCTGTGAAGGGGGTATGTTGTGCTAGTGGCTGGGAGGCCACATTTGGGAATGTGAGGTCTTGACTGTAGTTCAGAGCGCGCTGACAACGGGCAACTTACAGCCTGGTACGTGCTCATGCATCCTCTCAGTACTGCTGGCTGAATTTATTTAGTAATTCCCTTTTACCTTGCCAGGGTTCCTTGATAGCCTGTGAATTCCTGCTGCAGAATGGGGCAGATGTTAACCAAAGAGATAGCCGAGGCCGAGCTCCCTTGCATCATGCCACATACCTAGGGCATACTGGGTAAGTTCTTTGCACATCGCGGTGACATGCTCCATCACCCTTGGATTGAGATTCAGCGTTAACACAGAGTAATGGGGGTGAGGTGGGCAAGGAGCTGGGTTTTGGTTAATTGGTTATTTGCAAAGCATGCCTTTTTATAACGCGTCAACAACGTGACTGTCTTAAGGATAATTGCCCCCATGATGATAGATAGGGTGTAATTGGGCCCCTTTACGCCCGTTCCTTTCTCCGTGCTGCTGCAGCATTTCCTGATTTAGACCAATAGAAGTGAAGCTGTGCCTGCCTATGGAAGGACAGTGCCCTCTGCCCACTTCAGTGGAGGGGGGGAGCTGGAATTTCTGTTCTGACGGTCTTTTCTTTCCCTTCTGCAGTCAGGTCTGCTTGTTCCTCAAGCGAGGGGCAAATCAGCATGCGGTGGATGGTGACGGGCAGGACCCGCTCAGTATTGCTGTCCAGGCAGCCAATGCGGACATAGTTACCTTGTAAGTGCAACCAGGACTTTCCAGTGCACGTGTACAGGAACATTGCCTGTAAATAGCCATCAGGGAAGGAATAACCAAATCTCTCTCCCTTGTGCTTTCTCTGTTTCACTCTAGGCTGCGTCTGGCTCGAATGAATGAGGAAATGCGAGAAGCAGAGGGCCCCTTTGGACAACCAGGTCAATATCCCAGCAACAGCCCTACCGAGCTGCAGTACAGAAAGTGTATACAGGAGTTCATCAGCCTTAATATAGATGAGTGTTAGTGACAACTCCCCCACCTCCCCTTTGCTGTCTTGAAGTTGGGCTGAATTTCTAGAAGCCCTGAGAGCCCCATCCTTGGTATATTGGTGTTTCTTGCAGATTGGTCTGTTTTTGATGCCTGCACGTATAGGTTGAGATGCACACAGGAAGGAAAAGGGGTCTTTCCTGTTAGCGTTAAGTTCTCATGCTTGACTACTGGATGGTTGATTTTGTGTAGGAGACTTCTAGGGCATAACCACAGACCATGGCGTGTGGACTTGAGTGTGTGAAAAGTATGGGAGATGAGTTTAGCATTAAAAAATAAAAAAAAGAAAAAAAAAAAGAAAAGAAAGAGAAGAAAAGGAAACCCTCTATCACCAGGAGAAACCCACCAACAATACGATCAGATGAACCTGTCTCTGCTTCAGCGTAGTTACCATGCACTGAGTTCTCGTCTGAACAGTTTGTTTGGAAGGGATTCTGACATGGAGCCCTCTGTCCTGGCAGCGTGACCAGCAGCCTGCTCTCTCATGGGACTGCTGCAGGGACTGGGAGCTGCTGGGGCCAGTTTAGAAAACTAAAAGATGACCTCTAAGTCAGGAACAGGCTGTTTTGTGGGGCAGAGATATTTTGCTCCAGAAGGCACAATGGAAGGGGTAGAATTGAGAGCGACGGCTACTCACCTTAATTGCTCTCAGGACTATACCAGCCACGCTCCCCTTTTTTCGCCCTTGGTGGTTAGCTGGTCAAAGCCATAGCTCGCCTGCTTCCAGGCCCAAGATGCGATCTGCACGGTGTTATGGAAGCAGCAGTGCTAATTCTTTGAGGCTGGGAGAAGCTTGTCGCTGGCGATGGGCTTTGTGTCAGGGAAGAAAAGCCACATCCAACTCCCACTGCCTAAATGGCTGGCTGCACGATGCAATTTTGACTTTGGTTCAGTTTGTTTCCTGGTCACTTCCGATTTCTGACTTAGCATCTCTGTGAAGGAGACTTCGACTTGCATGTGTATCCCTCTGTGCTCTCCCCCCGCATGCTGAAGCATGTGAGTAGGGCATCTCAGCAGCTGGCCCAGGGGCTTTTGAGTTCCCCAGTTCCAATGACTGGCAGAATCTTCTTTTTGTTTCTTTCCTTTTTCCTGTAGTATTCTTTGCTGGAGTGGGGGAATTTGTTTCTACTTAGAGCACTTTGCTATGTTTATGGTCTGTGTTACAGGGATCATGCTACAATAGCTCTGCAGAGATGCTGCAGCCATGTAATCCTGTCTCAGGAGGACTTACAGAGCACGCGTACCACTGGCAGATTATCCTCTGGCTGTGAGTTTGGATGCCAAGCTGAGGTGTGCTCCTGTAAGAACTTCTTCAGAATGCCCTCAACTGCAGTTGATGTTAGAGTTTTTTCAGGACTCGTGGGTGGTAGTCCACAACTGGTATTTAGCCTGCCTGGGCACCTAGGCTGCTGGCTCTGGGGTTGGGCCATAGTGCCTTATGGATAATGCTGGGATCTTGAGGGGATCAAGATCTCGCAAGGAATGCAAGAATACCAGGCAGAATTCCCCATCCTCCTGCATTACATCAGCAGTGATCCACAATCATACTGTTTTTCATCCAATACACGGTTGACTTCTTTACTTTTTTTTGTATGCTGGCTGCTGTCATGCTGCAGCCCTTAGTGGATTAAACCTTTGCAGGTTTGTTTCTATTGACGTAATTGTGTCCTCGGATACTGGAGCAACAGTGATCCGGCTCTTCACCCAAGATACTGCCCTCAGAGACTGAACCAACAGCAGTCAGTGTCCACCCACACATCTAAAAGTGGAACAATAAAGAAACTCCACTTAGTGTCTAGTAGGGTGTCCTCTCAGTTCAAAGGAGAGTCCCTGCTTCCTTAGGAAAGTGGTGTCCCAGGTTTTGCTGCAGCCAGACCACAGTCTGTGCAGTCTTGAAGTCCATCTTTGTCTTGTTGCTTTCTCATTCTTGCTCCCTTTGGAGATTTGGGATGCACAGTACCAAGTGCTGAGTTCTGATCTCAGTCCCAATTGTCTGTTGTGAATCTGAAAGGGTCCTAGTGACTGTGCTGAAACTGCTGCAGATCGATGGCAGTGCAAAATCTGATCCCAGGGCCTTTCATGCTTCCCTAAATAATAAACAATCTCCTTCCACCAATCTTGGAAAATAAAAATTAATGAGCTTGGCCCCATCAGCCTTTTTATCACTGGCAATGCCTTTCACAGCATTTTCTCCATCGCTCCACTTTTTCTGTCCCAGGAGGCTGGTGCTCTGCACACAGCGTGCTGCTGCTGAACCTGCGCTGTGTAACTCCTGGCTCGCGTGAACCTGCCGATTCACAGCACGCTGATGGGTTGGAGAGGGAGTGCACCATGCAAACTTGCATTTGGCCGCCTTAGCTGTTCAATGCCTGGTCTGAAACTCTTCTGTAGTCTTTGACCAGGCAATACTCCTTCTGAACTCTTCTCTGAGTAGAAGCTGTAGGATGTGCCCTTAACAGTTGGCAGAGGGCAGATCCCTTGGTCTGTATTCGTATTCTGTTCAGCTGTGGCACCCTCAGGATTGATTCAGGACCGCATGTGGGATGAAGCAGTGTGGCATGAAATGCCATTATTGCTGCAATTCAGTTTCAGAGGAACGCTAGGGTGTATAAATCCTGAGTTCAGAGGACAATTTCTTTGTGAGTAGGGACCGTGCTCTGATTGTAGCTCCCACATGTGACTCTGGAGTCATATCACTGAATGAAGAGGGCTGACTCTGGGCATACACCTGTGTAAGTGATACCAAATGCAGGCAGATGTGCACTGTGCATAGCTGTTGCTGCAGTGCTGCTACATGGTCTCCTTCAGTTTGCGTTTAACATGCCCTGGGTTAAATATCTTTCTTCCTGAGACCTGTGTGAAGGTATAGCCAGCATCACTGCCCACTCAGCGTTTCTTGTGCAGGATTACAGAAGGTTACCGCTTTACATTCTCGTGGAGCTTCATCTTTCGGTCCTTTGCATTGGACTTTGTCCTCTTTCTGGTCCAAGGCATCCTAAACTTAAATGGGCTTCCCCACTGAGCAGGGTGGTGCCTTCACTTGGGTGTCGCTGCCCCATTTGACACCCCTTCCTTATCAGTTGAGCCTGCTTACTCTGCAGCTGGTGGTAGCGTTACTGTCGGTCTGAGTTGGGGTCAGGAGCAAATCTGTAGTCTTACAAATCACCTGCGTGAAGTGCCCTGCAGACCTCACTGCTCTGTGCAGAGCTCGGATGGCGTTGGGTGCTGTTGTCCAGGGAAATGAGTTGCGGTGCTGAACCTGCTAGCAATACAGCAAAGCCCTTAAGTATGTGTCTGCCTTCAGCAGGACTGTGCTATGCTTATGGTTAGATCATGCAGATCAGCCTGCGGCATCCAGACCAGCACTTAGATTGCTGAGTACAGCCAAGAACTCGCTCTGCTTCCTGGGTTAGGAACTGAGAGATTCTCTGTAATGAATTCTCTTTCATAATCCTATCCCATTTTATACTGATCTGCATCAATTTAGACATTTGTCAGTGCTGACGTCCCCTCAAGTTTCCTAGAAAAGTGCCACACTGAATCAAAGCTGGCATTTTTCAGGGTACTTCAAAGATCTTGAAAGTGAAATAGATGTTTCACCACTGCCACGGTTCTACTCTGTTAATGAATTTCAGCATGGTCATTGTCTAGCAATGTTTTTTACATGTACAGCAACTTAAAACACCCCAATTGGTTTTCCAGCTTTTTATGAGAAGTTAGAAATATGACTGATCCTTTCTGTAAGCCAGTGAGAACTGGAGACATGGCTTCCACTTTGGGTCATTTTATTTCACAGTCAGCATTAGTGGCTCACGAGAACAATACAAAAATCATGTACAGGTAGGTCCATTGGAGCTCAGACTCACTGCTGAAGTACATGAAGTTAAAGCATATGTAAATACTGATGCAAAAAGCAGTGTCTTGCAAGACAATTTATCTATTTAACATGTATTGGTACTTTATTTAGATTCAATGTATAAAGCAACTTTGTGCACTTTTCCTACATACAGTATTGGGGGGGGTTTATGTTCTTTTGTTATGGATTTTGTGCTGTCTTTTTTAATCAGTGAAATTGTTAAGTATTTAATTTATTATTGATGTGCCCAGAGGACTAGTGCAATTTTTATTCAATACAGTTTGTCTGTATTTAATGTCAGGATTTTTTTGTAGCATTGTTAGGCAATCTTTTTCAAAACCTGCCTTTCCCCCCCCCCACAATTTTCCTTTCTCCCCCCCTTCCCCCCTTTTCTATTTTCATTATACAGATCATGAGGCATTAAATGCCTCTAGTTTGAAATATAATCAAACACTTTAGTACATCCTGCAGTTTCTAAAACAAAAAAGTTCTCCAGGAAAAAAATGCTAAGGAGGCACTTCTCAATGTTTTCTGTGTTTATTTGATTTTTTTTTTTTTGATTGGGGTGTGTGTGCGTGTGTGTGCATAGAAGTTTGGAGGGGAGAGTGGGGAAATTTTACAGAAAATTTGTTTTCAGCAAAGTAAATGGCCAACCAGGCTACAGGGAAGACTGGATATTGAACACTTTTCTTTTTTTCCTTCTTCAAATACAGCTGCATTTGTGTTGTAAAATCTTGTTTGAAATATCTAATGCCAAAACTACTCTCTCTTCATTCTTCCTTTCTTTTCAAAGAGTGCGTATGTTATCTATATGATAGTAACTTGGTTGCAACCACAGTTAACATGAGGAGATTTGCCTTTGTCTAGAAAGCAACATGCCAGGCATCGTCAAAACACAAATGGACCCAAACCATTGCCTCAGCCATGCAGATTCTGTCATCTTTTGAGTTTTTGAGATCTGGGTGAATATTTATATACCTGTCCTAGCTTTTGTTTGACTTGACCCAAACCCTGTAACTAAGTGCCTGGACAGGTAGTCTAGGTTTGAATCTTTGGGGTCTGCCACATGTCTCTGATTCCAAATGGGATGAGTTCAGGTTGCTGGCAGGTTGAAATGATACCCTCTGTGTTCCCTCTCCACATGTCATCCAGGGAAGCCTCAGGTTATTTTAATATTGTTGTCTCTGAGATGGTCTCTGCAATGTGAAATTTCTTTGAGCAGTCTAGAGGAAAAACCTGGAGTTGGAAGAATTTATCTCTTTAAAGAGAGATTTGACAAGCTGAGACTGTGATCAGCATAAAATAGATCAGTAACATCTCAGACCAGCAAAAATGGTCATTATTTATGCAAGAGAAAAACAAGACCTCCTAAAGAAATGCACTGATTAACTTATTGTCCGGTGGCCACAACACAGCTGTTGTCTACTGCTAAACTACTGTGTTGTT